TCTTCTGTAGAGGGCCAGACAGTAACTATTTTGGGCTTTTGTGGACCATTCAGTCTCTGTTGTGACTAGTCAACTCTGCCTCTGTAGCTTGAAAGCAGCCATAGACGATACATACATGAATCGGCGTGGCTGTGTTCCAATAAAACTTTATTACAAAAACAGGCTGTAGCTCCTGCTATCCCACATAGTTCCACAAATATATTACATTTTAAATTTTATATCCATCTGTATTTTCTTTTGTAAATTATGATGACAAGGTCTATATGTTTGTAAGAGTGGCAGAACTCTCGTGTTTGGAAAACATTGGTAGAGAATGATATAATAAACAATTTAACAAGGGATACATTAGCTTCTTCCTGGCTTTTGTAAAAACATTTAATTTATTAAATATTCTCCAAGTCTGGTTAAAAAAAAAAAAAAAAGAAAGAAAGAAAAAAACCAGGCTGTAGGCTGGATTGACCAGCAGGCTGTAGTTTGGGGACTCCATATGTGGTGGATCCTTAGAATAAAGAAGAATTCAGTGTGAATTCCTATGGTGAGTCAGGGATGGGATTTTGTAAAACACATTGAAAGGAGGTCCATGCAGGCTTCCTGGAAAAGTAGAGGTTTACACTGAGACCTAAAGGATGTGTAGGAATAGCCAGGTGAGGGGGCGTTGGTAGAGAGGATGAGTCAAGTGGGGGTAGGGGTGTGGCAGATGAAAGTGCATGGCTAGTGTATAGAGAATCAGTGAGAAGTGCCCAGAAATCCTCTCCATAATCCTGTAAGGTGGCCGACGTGTCTCCAGTTGACTTTGGGAGAAACTGACCCTCAGAGCGCTCGTGTGATGGAGCTGGACCTAGATGCTCTCTTATAATGCTCAGATATTTTTGTTACAAGGCTCAATTTAGTGCCAAGACTTTATATTCTAGAAACAGGCTGAACAAGATGAAATATGCTGATTTAAATGACTTCATTCTAGCCTACTAGCTGGTCTGGAGGAGACCCCAGGTGATGAACAGTAAAGCACTTGGCTGCTAACCGAAAGGCTGGAGGTTCAAATTCACCCAAAGGGACCTAGAAAGAAAAGCCTGGTGATCTACTTCAGAAAAATCAGTCATTGAAAACCATATAGAGCACAGTTCTACTCTGACACACATGGGGTTGCCATGATTCGGAATCAATGGCAACTTTCATTATTATTATTTTAGCTGCCCCAGAAGTAGGTGTGTGGTTGTTTGGGAGCATAAGAAGCTTTAGAAGAAAGAGAGCCAGACAGTGACAGCAGTGCAGCCTGTCCCCATGAGGTCTTTTCTGCCAGGACAGCACATCTGCCCCTTGCTATGAAAAAGAAGCCAAACGAGCTGAGTAGCAGAGCTAACGCCTTTCACTGAGTTGAGGGCTGTGGTCTGTGATCCCCCCTGATAGTGAAATTGATCAGCACTTCCTGGATGGCATTCCAGAGGCCAGCGAGCCTCTACCTGAAACGTGGCCACAGATTGCACAGGCTCCATCACTGACTAAGGAATTTATGGGCAGCACAGGCTCCATCACTGACTAAGGAATTTATGGGCGGCAGTACAATGTCGTGGAAAGAGCCTAGGCTCTAAGATGAGACAGAAGCAGTTTCAAATCCTGGTTCCGTTATTTACCAGCTGTGTGAGTTTAGCAGTTAAACTCTGTACACTACAGTTTTCTCATCTATAAAACGGAGATGTTAACATCCGCCTTGCAGGGTTGTCATGAGGAAATAATGCAGACCCCTAGCACTGGGGCCAGGCAAATAGTAGGTGCTCAGTAAACCTTCAAGGTTAATACTTGGTCTTTATTGCCTGCCTGTCTTTTCCAGCCCTGTTTGCTGTGGCAAGAAGAGGGGTGGGTGAGTCGATGTGAGCGAACCTAATAGATTCCACCATTGGAGAAGCAACACAAAGCCGAGTTCCTCAGAGGGGGTCAGAGCATTATTTTCCCTCAGGATAACAAACTCTGCTCTGACCTTTAGAAAGAAGCTCATGGGTATACTAGAACAGTCTGCTGTCACATTCTCTATGAAAACCACTCGAATCCTATTACAAAGCAATTTAAATTCATTTAAAGTCAGTATAAATGTACCTGTGGTTAAGAGCTCAGGCTGCTGACCAAAAGGTTGGTGGTTCGAATCCACCAGGTGCTCCTTGAAAACCCTATGGGGCAGTTCTACTCTGTCCTATACGGTTGATATGAGTTGGGATCGACTCAACGGCAACAAGTTTAGTTGCATGGTGCAAAGAGTTAACACACTCAGCTGCTAACTGAAAGGTGGTAGGTTTGAGTCTACCCAGAGGTGCCTCAGAAGAAAGACCTGGTGATCTACTGAAAAATCAGCCATTGAAAACTCTGTGGAGTACAATTCTTCTCTGACACACAAGGGGTCGCCATCAGTTGGAGCTGACTCAACTGAAACTGATGGTTTTTTATCTCAGCTCTAAGTCCATTATGTAAAAGTGGCCTTCTGGAATGGCCAAATGTCCTGGCTGGTCCTTGGAAGGCCCTTTTCTTTGCTATCATTCCATCTATAAACCTATAGCAACTTCATCCTCATCCCTGCATCTAAGCTCCTTAGGTCCCTTACTTCAGGGACTGCCTCCCCTGTAGGATGTGCATGGCAGGACGCCACCCCTCCCCGTTTGTGGCAGGCTCCCCTTGCTCATTCTTTCCACCACCTCTCAAGTCATAATTCCCATCAGAATCTTTATCCCAGTCCTGTGGTAAATAACCGCAACTACCATGTTTGGGTTTTTATCGTCTTATGCTGGTCCTTTTGTTGGTGTCAGCTGCCATTGAGTCACCTTCCCTTCCCAACTTATGGTGACCCCATGCACATCAGAGCAAAATGCTGCCTAGTCCTGCACCATCCCCATGATCGACTGGGGATCAGACCCTTGTGATCCATAGGGTTTTCACTGGCTGATTTTCAGAAGTAGATCATCAGGCCTTTCTTCCTAGTCCATCTTAGTCTGGGAGCTCCGCTGAAACCTGTTCAGCATCATAGCAACATGCAAGCCTCCGCTGACAGAGGGGTAGTGACAACACATGAGGTGCATTGGCCAGGAATGGAACCGAGTCTCCTGCATGGAAGGCAAGAATTGAATTCTACCACTGAACCGCCTCTGCCTCCGCTAGTCCATTTAGGTACCTCCAAATCCATCGGGTCACTTCTGGACTTCTTCCGGAGGCCGGAATGAAAAGAGAAAGGCAGAAAGGATGCCTTCTGTTCACTCCTCATTGACAGCTGTGAAGGTGGAAGAGAGAACCTTGGACTCTGCATCTAGTTTAGCACTGAGGAGACCAGGAAGGTCAGAAATGCTTGTTGGAAAAAACATGGTCTAGGAAAGAGGGTGATGGTAAAGCGAACTCAGTCTGTGCAGTGTCCCGGTGGCATGTTAGCAGGAGGCTGAGGCCTTAGTAACTCCCCACCCCCATCTCTTGTGAGCCCCCAGCCCTTCCCTCCCATGACCTCCAGCGTGGAACCTTAACTCTCCAGGCCACTGAGCCACCATTCACAGATGGGACAGTCTGTGGGATCACCATAAGTCGGAACCAACTCCACAGCAGCTGGTTGGGGCTTTTTTGGGTTTAGTAGACAGAGTTGAAGGAGCCTTGGTGGCGCAGTGGTTAAGTTGCTCAGCTGCTAACCAAAAGGTCAGCAGTTAGAACCCATCAGCCGTTCTGTGGGAGAAAGATGTGACAGTCGGGTTCCTTAAAGATTTACAGCCTTGGAAAGCCTATGGGGCAGTTCTGCTCAGTCCCATGGTCACTATGAGTCAGAATCAACTCAGTGGCAACTGTTTGGGTTTTTTTGTTTGTTTGTTTAGTCAGAGTCAAAGATACTCTGATTTACCACAAGTTAGATGAGGAGGTGGGGAGGAGTAAGATGGTGAGAGAGTGTAGGACCCAGTGAGATTCTGAGTTATGGGAGATGTCATGGTGACCTTTGAAGGTCTTAAGAGTAGAAAGTCCTTATCTGTGGTAATTCATGGAGAGTCCTGCATCGAGGCTCAAGATCTGGTTTCTCAGCTAAGAGTAGCATGAAAAGAAGCAATCCTGTAGGATACACTCTGCTTGGCTTCCTGCTAAACACTGATTCCACTCCCTGGGGCTTCATATGAATCCCATTTAAATGCTCCTTAAAAACTGTGGTCTTTGAGCTGTAAGAACACAGCACCATCAGGTGGACAAGCCAGGGTGTTTGCTGTGGAGGCATTTTCTAGCCAAGGAGACACACTCTGGAAGGAGACTGCCCTATCAGACCAGCACCAAATGATGAAGATGTAAAATTATTTTGTCATGTTATTTTGTAAGCTGTTTGGTTTTGTAACAAGAAGTTATGTTGATTACTTTCCTTGAGGAGTACATGCTGGACATTTCCAAAGAGCCCAAATACGTGAGAAAGTAGCGGGACATTTGTGTCTGTGACAGTTTTGTGAAGGAGTCATAAAAGAGAGAGTATTGAAGGCTGTAGTTCAGTTTTACTTTAATTTACAAGGCAGTTTACCCACACACCTCTATTCCAGATGTCACTGGAAGTGAAGTGAATTAAATAGCGGTTTATGGTCAGTATAACTGTGTGTGGTCTGTATAAATGATTATGTGAATTACTTTAAAATAGGTGACATGCTATTTGCAATTTTGCTTTATAAGAATATAAGTTAATATATTCTTGTGTGGTTTCTGACTGACTGTGTAGCTCAGTTATTTAGTGTAAAGGTTTCCTTACTGTGTAGATCTATTGCAGATTTCAGGATGATGGGGAGCCTGTCTAGAACAACCCTCACTTGTGAAAAGGCATTACTTTCTCAGCACACATGGGAGTGGTCTTTGCTGTGGGCAGAGGCAGGAAAGCAAGGAGAGGAGCTCCATCTAAGACCAAAAAACAGGCATGTTAGAGTGCTGAGCTTCACTCCCTTCCATCAGTTACGTAGCAAGACTATGGTTTGAATCCAATCATCCAAAAATTGATGTTCTGTTCTTCCTTCTTTTAGGAGAAACTGTGTCTACCCCATCACATCCTTGAAGAGAAAGGCCTGGTAAAAGTGGGTATTACCGTGCAAGCATTACTAGACGTAACCGTAAAGAACGCTCTATTCACCTGAAGCCCACGCTGCCTCTTCCATCGGAGATAACGAACTCTGCTCTCAGAACCTGTTCCACCCACCCTCCCGCTCACTGCCTGTTAGTTCCCCAGCTCTAGTTGTATTGAAAAGGCTTTCTGTCCAAGGGAGGACCTAAGGGAGTACTTGGTTCCTTTCAGGACTGACCTCCTACGTTAAGACTTGACAGGTATTTATCTTGAAACCAGCGAGGTAGCTGGTCAAGAAGAACTGAGCATATCAATGCCTTTTTCAACTGTCATCATCCCTTCCACATTCACCAACTGCCATTACCAAAGCACCAAGCACAACTGTTTTGCAGCAAGATGCACACATTTCACGAAAACCAAACTCGTTATATAGATAGATAGTGGGGGGAGGGGACACCATCAGGTTTTTCACCGCCAAATTTTTCAGGATTGTTTGTTGTTGAGACCATTGCCTTTTAAAAAACTACTTTTGACATGCAAAATATTTATATAAATATTATTTATTAGTGAGTTGTTATTCATCCGTTGGATGTAAATTGTAAATTAGGAAAACTATTTTATTACTGCTTTTTTGTGGTTAAACACTTTATTTTAATATAAATATTGAGTTATTTTCTATTCCTCGTAGGTCTCAGTAATCATGTTTTCTGGTGTATATGACTCACAAAAACATTTTAAGCAAAAACAAAAAAATGGTGCTTCTGTTTCCTGGGGAGGCATTATTTACTCTTTGGTTTGAGGAACAATTGGTCTTATTTATATTTCTGCATTCCATCCAGTTTCCTACATTCCAGCAGCCCTGTTGTCCCCCAAAATAATGAACTGACTGAAATCGAGAGAGCACCCCAGAGTTATTTGTAAATAGCTGTGATAAAAAAAAAAAGACATATTAAACTTGAAGATAAAATATGAACAATTATTTTTCTGGATTCATACTTATTTTGCTATGCACAAAACATTCACGTTTTAACACAAGAAGTGTTAGCATCGTGTGTCTTGAAGTATAATTTTGCACTGTAACTTGGGTAATTAAAGGAAGTCTAGCACCAAAGGTAGATTGGGATAGGAAAGTGGAGATGAGAAAAAGTTTATCGTTTCACCAAAAAGTTTTTTAAGGGAAGCTTTGACTAAATAAGCACAGAGGACCTGGGTCAGGAAACCAGCTCTTCTTACAACCGCCAGTTTTAAAAGAAGAAACAATTCTGAGAGGTAGAAGTACTCATATTATTCTGTAGTTCAGTTGGTTTTCAAAGTAGTCTGTAAAATACCGCAAGATTCATGGTCTCCGGTGTGAATCCGGAAGCGCGTCATTAGAGAGCCTGGTGGGGCGGCTACCTGCACCACAAAGCGGGGCTGAGAAGGTGAAGTAAGTGGCGTTTGTGAGGCAGAGTGGCGAAGGTGGGAGCGAGTTAAAGCAGAACACGACCAGAGAAGAACCAGCAGTGGAAACTCGGTCGGAGAGATTCACATAGGCTTCACCTAACATGGTAGCCTATTTTAGGCAAGTATACTCACGCTGCAGTTACAGAACTCCAGTAATTAGTCTTTAAAAGTCTTGTGAATGCTCACTGCATTTTCTCCTTTGTGAAAAGCCGTAACAAGTTTTTCAGCAGGAGCAGCAGCTGCAATTTCTCAGACAAATGTAACGGAGAACACAAAAGACACGAGCAGCAGGGGACAGCCTGCAGAGAACCCAGGCTAACATCAGCCGATGCAAAGGCCTGCCTCCCTTCCGGGGAAAGGAGGGCTTACTGAAAATAGTCATTTGGATTGGCAGCTAGCAATTATGTCCTCTCAAAAGTACTGTGCACTTTAACCTAACATAAAGTATATTTTAGTATTTTTCTGTACTGCACAAAGACTTGTCAAATAGCATAATGATGTAAAGAAGGAAGATTTTGAACAAAGAGCATATACAATTTAAGCAACATTCAAAGGTTGGTTATATAAATAGGAATTTAGATTGCTGCAGCTTGACGGGCATTCAGAATGCAGGGTCTAGAAATATTTTTTTACACTGTATATATGGCAACATGAAGCTCTGTAATCATTGTTTAGAGATTCTTTTTTCAAATTTAAAATATTTCTTTTGATATTAATTTTCAGAATTTTCTTGAAGTTGGCTGTATAATACAAATCGCTTCAGTATTTTGTAATGCAGCTTTTCTTTTAAATGCAGTCCTTGTATGGCTAAGATGTCTTCATCCTTGTACACTGTTTATATGTGCAATAAATGTGCATGACCAGTACCATAAGTGAACAGAATGTATATAGTGCAAATATCCTTCCTTTTATTATTTAACAGCCATTAAAACTTTGAATTTGTACAAACCGTGTTTTGACTGACTTATCCATCTGATGCAAAGGTTGACTCTGGTGGTACAAAAAAAATTGTCACTGCTGAAAAATATTATAGCAATCATCTGATGTGATTATAGATATAGACATACATATATATCTATACAAATATATAGATATATCAGGAGAGTGAGATATATATACTCATATACTCTCTCTCTATATATATATATAATCTATATATGAGGAGCCCTGGTGGTGCAGTGGTTAAAGCACTCAGCTGCTAACTGAAAAGTTGGTGGTTCCAACCCACCAGCCGTTCCACAGAAGAAAGATGTGGCAGTCTCCTTCGTTAAAGATTTACAACCTTGGAAACCGTATGGGGCAGTTCTGCTGTATCCTACAGGGTAGCTATGAGTTGGAATTCAGTGGACAGCAATGAGTTGTTTTTTTTTTTTATACTGTGTTTTTGCTGTTAGTTTCTGGTTTCCATTGAGTCACTTCTGACTCATGGTGACCCAATGTGTGCAGAGTAGAACTGCTCCATAAGGTTTTCAAGGCTGTGCCCTTTCAGAAGCAGATGAAAGGCCTGTCCTCTGAGGCACCTGTGGGTGAGTTTGAACCACCAACCTTGTAGTTAGCGGTCGAGCACTTAGCTGTTTGCCCCACCCAGGGACTCTCCTAATATACTATACATAGACGCATGTATATTAATTCTATATATAATACATATGTATACGTATATGCGTGTGTCCGTTGGTGCAAACAGTTAAGCATTCTGCTGCTAACAGAAAGGTTGGAGGTTCCAGTCCATCCAGAAGTGCCTCAAAAGAAAGACCTGGTGATCCACCTCCAAAAAATCATCCAACATTTACGGACATTTTCCATTTTAAGTTGGCTGGAGCAACTGGGGAGCGTATAATGGGCAAGGGGAGGGATGGAAGCAGGGCCAGGAGCACTGTGGAGATCCTTGAGTTAGGGGTCATCCAAGCAACCATATGGCATTGGCCACAGCTGGGGACCAACCCAGATACCAAGTGCTGGCAAACAGCTGCACCTGGGAACTTTCCAGTTCTTTCTGGGTGGGTTTGAAAGATCTGGACAGAACGGGCCCCAGGGGAGATTGTTGTCTAATCTTCCAGCTCCCACAGGAGGTCAGCTAGCAGGGATCACTTTCAGATGAGTCGGGATGATACAAACTCAGGGAGTTATCTAGGCACTCCTTCAGTGTGGGGGCATGTTACACAAAGGGTGTTGGGAAAGCAAGGTTTCACTCTGCACCACTCTTTATTCTCCACACTCACCCGCTAATGGGCCACTGTCTTAGTTTCCTAGTGCTGCTGGAACAGGAATACCACAAGTAGGTAGCTTTGCAGAACAGAAATTTACACAGTTCTGGAGCCTAAAGGCCAAATCAGGGTCTTGGCCTTGTAGGTTCCTTCTGTGAGCTCTCTCCTAGTTCTGATGTCTGCTGGCAATTCTTGGTGTCCTGTTGCTTGTAGATGAGCCTCACATGTTGTCTGTCTTCCCCTGTGGGTGTGTCTCTGTGTCTATTCTGGTCTTCTTACAACTTATAGAATCCACCCTACACTGGTATGACTTCAACTGATTGATTACATTAGATTGCACTATGGAAGGTGATTACATAACATTACATTAAATGTGAGTTCATTACATTGCATTGCATTATGGAAGGCAATCTGTTCTACCCAAGGCCGACTGATTTGATCACATGTAACAACTACTCCATGACAGCAACTGGACTAGTGTTGCACCAAACCACTGGGAACCACAGTCTAGCCAAGTTGACACATAACATTAACCACTAGAGCCACCTTCATTGCCAGTATTTGGTGAGCGGCTAGTGTAGGTCAGGTATTATATCTGAACCACAAACTCCATTAGAACAAGGCTGCTTGTCTGGTTTGTTCTCTGCTGATTCTCCAGTGCCTAAAACAGTGCTTGTCATGTAGTAAATGCTAAAGAGATGTTAGTTAAAGGAATTAACGGAAGTTTACATACCTATCTCAGAAAATCCTACCACAGCCCTATACAGAAGGGATTTGTAGTGGACACCTACGGGGTTGCTCACCTATTACCACATGCTTCTGGAAGCTACTCTGCCTCATATACTATGAGGTCTTCGTGGCTTTTCCACGATGCTGCCTACCTAGCAATTGTTGGTTTAGGTGCAGCTGCCTCACTCAAAATGGACCAATAATTCTCATCCCCCAGGATTTTTATTCTTTTCCTCATGACCGAAGACATAAGCCATAAAACCTAGAAAAAAACTGGAGGATAAACCTGACATGCAGAGAGTCCTGACCATGTTTGCACTCCTGGGTCCAGTACGTAACGGCAACCTTTACTCCTGAAGTTTGCGGAGTTTTGTGAGGCTCTGGCTCTTTGCAAAGGAGTGGTGGTTCAGCAGTAGAATTCTCTCCTTCCGTGCAGGAGACCAGGTTTGATTCCCGGCGATGCACCTCATACGCAGCCACCACCCATCTGTCATTGGAGGCTTGTGTGTTGCTACAATGCTGAAGAGGCTTCAGTGGGAGCTTCCAGACTAAGATGGACTAGGAAGAAAGGGGCCTGGCAATCTACTTCCAAAAATCAGCCAGTGAAAACTCTATGGATCACAATGGTCTGATCTGCACCCGACCATGGGGATGGTGCAGCTTTCCATTCTGTTGTGCATAGAATCACCATGAGTCAGGGGCTGACTCAGTGCAGCTAACAACAATGGCTTTCTGCATCAACTCAGTCTGAGTTGGGCTTCTGTCACTAAGAGTGCAGACAGATTGAGATGGAGAAGCTAAGGCTGAGAGTGTTCAAGTAACTGCTACAAGGTCACAGCAGATAAGAGAGGAAGTCGGGATTCAAGCTCAAGTACAGCAAGCCTTGCCCTTTTCACTATCACCAGGACCGCCCAGCAGGACTGACCCAACTGAAGTTTCTAGAGTTAAAAAAAGGTCCTGGACAATCACAAGGATGTTTGAAGATACAGAACAAAGCACGTTCAAGTGATAACACCTGATAAGCTGAGCCCATCTAGGCTGCTTTGAACTCTGGCTAAGACAGACCAAGGCCAGAGCAAAAAAAGCAGGAAAAAAAGGGATTAGTAAAACAGGCACAGTGGAAAGGAAGTGATCTTCACTTTTACACGAGGCCTAAGAAGAAGCCTCCAGTTTCCTTGCCATTTCTCTTTCCCAACTTAATAATAATATTACTGTCTATCTTAGTTACCTAGTCCTGCTATAACAGAAATACCACAAGTGGGTGGCCTGAAAGAACAGAAGTTTATTTTATCAAAGTTCAGGAGGCTAGAAGTTCAAATGCAGGATATGGCTCTAGGGGAGGTTCTTCTTTGTCTGTTTCAGCTTCTATTAGCCAGCAATCCTTGGCATTCCTGGGCTTGTAGATGCATCTGCCCTGTGCGTCTGTCCTGTGTGTGTCTGTCTTCATCTGGTGTCTTCCCCCTGTGCATGTGTCTCTGTCAATTCTGCCCTTTCTATAACTCAGAAGTGATTAGGTTTAGGACCCACACTACTTAAGTATGACCTCATTAACATAATAAA